CTGTGAGGTCTACGCGGCTGAACCGAAGTCCCCGGATTTGGACACTCGCAAACGCAAGATCGTGATGCTTCTGTTTGTGAGCGACCAAGACTGCTCGCTGCCTCGTGTAGTTGTTGAAACAGATTTACGTGACCACGGGTTAGCAGCGAGCATTCTGACATATTCTGATGGCCTGTGTGGTAAGAAACTTGAAGGAGAATGCTAATACAACGTAACCACGTTTCGTCAGTTAGTGGCCCCTGCAAACGCGATAAAAGACATCCATGTTCGATGTTAACATGGCTCAGGACGCTGATACTTTCAGCATCGACACCAAACTCGGAAACTAGCTGCCCCATGATATATCAAGATGTCAACCCTCAAGATTCGGCTGGTTAACAAGTACATATCCAACCAGTCTCTCCAACTTCTTCGAAAGCCAACTAATATGAAACAAAACGAAAACCGATTGTGAGTGCATAACCAACCAGGTTTCAAGATAGAAACCTTTGCTGCTGCTGTCCTTCACAACACGGAACTGAAATGCCTCGCTGAGCAATGCACTTCAATATTGAAGCTTCCCTCTTTCGTGGTATGTAACAGCATGTGGCCAGGGAGACAAGTGGGCAAGTCGGCAGGTAGGTAGGGAGGTGGGCGGTGTTAGTGTTGCCCTTCTCGTGCCGTATGACTATCACCATGTGACCTATCTACAGACATACCCGGCGAATCCTGGGGAGGGGGTAGCACATATGTATGAACGAATGTCTGAACTATATATGTATGTGCAGCCTTCTTGCAGTCTTCAATAGCTGCATTGCACGGCATTGATTGAATGCCGGAGGTTCTACAGAAGCTGTTGCTGCTGTCCACAAAGCAAGTGAGTGCAGATCTACACAACACAGCTGTCTGATCGACTTCCTTGGTAGATAGCCATCGGGTCTCAGACATCACTTCATCGACCTCTGTGCTTATATTAATATCTACATGGAACGACTGATGCACCGCCACATCAAATTATTTGCGAAAGTGTCTTTTCGGGCAGCGCAAGCCAGTCAAGCTGGCCATCGTTTTCGAGGCCCTCCACGGACATGGTATCTCGGAAGAGCCTGTAGATAAACGTGTAGTCGGGCTTCTCCTGCTATGCAAGCAGCTGTCTGACGAAGGCTTCAGCTTCGGAAACACGCTGGACAGCCCATAGGCGGCCCGACGAATGGTAAGAGTCCTGGAACTTGAGGCCCTGGGTGTATCGGAGGAAGCGGGCAAAAACTTCGTGGCAGTCTTTGCACAGCTCCTTCAACCGACTTGCTCATGTGCAAACAGGACTCTGTCATCAAACCAAGGACATGGTATGAACTAGAGTCTAGTGGATCAGAGGAACTGGTGCAGTCTGATCAATCCCTGGCCCAAATTAAAGATCCTCCACGGAGATCTTCTGCTTGAGTTCCATGATTTTCTCATGCTTCTCCTCCTGGCAGATCCGTACATTTCTCGACGAGAATGACTCCCGGGAGTTCGAAAGTGCACAAAAACCAGGCTCCTTGGACTCGGCCTGGATGCCCTGCCAGGGCAGCTCGCCCAGTGCTAGGTAAATGAGGACCTTTGCCAAGGCGAGATGCGCTGACCGTGTCAGTGGCCATTCTTGACTCTGGGTGCAGCCTATGCCCGAGCTCACGCTGACTTCCCAGCAGCCGAGTCACATAAGCCAAGGCTTCAAGGTCATCTTTGCAACCCTGCTCTGCCCCCTCGTGAGCACAAATCGAAGCCTTGGCTGCTCCGAAGACGGAAGACAGCACTGCCCCAAAGTGCCCAAAAGTGTCCCACTGAGGCCTTCAGGTGCCAAGAGGCGTAGCGGGCAGTGCCCACGAGGCTGCGGCGTGGCCCAAGCCTCGGCCTAGGCACCCGAGAGGCCGAAGGGCTCCCTGAGGGCTTTGAAGGCTTTTTCAAGACTCCGCGCTTTCTTGCAGCCCCGTCGGTCTGAGAGCGGCTCTTCTCCGGGTCCAGTCTCTTCGCGAGACCGAAGTCGATGAGATGAACCACCTGAAGCTACGGTCACTGGCATGCCACTCTCTGGCTCATCAAGCAGCCCCTTTTCTGAAACAGGCTCCCAAGCGGAGACCGAGTCCCGCAAAAGGGCTGCTGAGCCTGACCCCGCAGAAACCATGATCGCACTAAGACACGGACAATGGGCATGTCTTGTGCCCCCTGAGCAAAGATCCCGGTTGCATACCTCCTGCCTAAGCAGCTTATCGATGCGACCATACCCCCAGACAGAACCCCAGGAAAACGCCCTGACTGTTGTTGAATGCGAGGAGCATTGCGCCGATCCCCCCGGCCAATGAGGAAATTCTCGGGCTTGATGTCACGATGTACATAGCCCTGCGGGTCAAGGTTGCAAGTGTTGGCTCTGGGGGGTCAAGCAAGCAAGCCATATGTGGAGGCTTGGAGGCATCGGATTTGAATGCGTAACCCTTGTTCTGCTATTCAGTCTGAAGCAGGGGCTGACACGGGCACAAGTGTGCCCGACATAGGTCTGCCGTCCGAAGGTTGGAGATCTCTGTTAGAGTCAGGAGCATCATACAGCTGCCAAACCTGAATACGGTGACGCCACAATCCGCATGAAAGCTGGTTCTGCAATGAGGCTTCCAATAAGCTCTCCAACAGATGCACCGAAACATGAGCAAAGCACAAGCAAGGGAGAAAAGGAAAAGGAAGAAACTTAATCATGTTCCCGTTGGGCGGAAGACCGCACCGCGCAAAGAAACAGCAGGTCTAAACGCATTTGCCCTCGTCCTACTCGCTCATGTATCCTGCCTTCATGTGGACGTACTCCAGCAGTCGAACCATCTGCTCTGCCATCATAAGTAAGGTCTTGAGGCCTCAAAACATTGGCTCCAAATTGACAAGAAAAACCAGTCGACGGCTGTCGAAACTCAACAGCTGCAGTCAGGTAAAAGCCGAAGGGCCAAACTTCCGGCCACACTTGTTGAAGGTCGCTTCTATAGAGGGCCCAAGCAACTCCATGGCCAGAAGATGATAGCAACCTGCGAGCAGGAGCTCAGCTCGCATGCTGGAAGACTCTGCTCCGAACTCCGCACGGCTACCAGCAAGTGAAGGCCCCCCCCTCCCCGTCTCCATTGTCTCCCTCCCTGGGCCTTCTTTGCCCAAGGAGTGGATTCTCGGGAAGCCTGGTGCTGAGAAGCGCTTCAGCACGCGCGCCTCCGGGGCCAGGCGGCGAGCCCGAGGCTGGGACTGGGACTCGAATGCACTCCGGGTTTCACAAGTGAGTAAAATCACCCCCGAGTAGAGAGCTATAGCTATCGCTTTATTAGATACTTCAGCTACAAAACTGAAGTTCTAACTCGCTTTAGAGAGAAGTCACTCGAATCTTGTGCCTCGAAGGTCAGCGAAGAGTGTTTCCCGACAGGATGCCTCCGGTGCGCAATGTGCCCCCCGGGGTACTTGCTTCTCTGCAACTGTGGTTCGGAATTCCGACATGACACTAGTACTGCAATGGGGAGCTGCGTTGGCAGAATTCAGATCTTATGTGGTCACTTCCCATCAGAGTCTGTCGTGTCGCAAAGCGCTCGCAGAAAGGCTGTGCAGCGCGGGACACGAGAAATACGCATGGCATGCGCAGTAGGACGTGAACGAGTCCACGCATGGACTTTATCATGACTTGGGCAGGGGTGCTCCAGGAGATGAAAAACGATCGCTCGCGGACGGGCACATGCCTGGAGCCTATATGATACTCATGGAAGCGATTATCGTGGCTTGGGTAAGGATTGATTGGAAAACAGATCAGGGACGTGTGTCCCAAAGAGAGAGGGGCAGCGTTGGGTTCCAGATGTGGGGAAGACTACGCCGAGCCCATGGGATCCCACGCGCGGGATGCCTCCAGATCATCGAGCAGACGAATCAGCCGAAGCGGCGGACGTTTCAAGCTCTGCTTCGAGGTGTGACTGAACGGACCCCGGTGCAGCTGAGGTCGCAAGTAGATACAAAGTAGCGGCAAATCCCCCCGGCCACACACACAACCCAACAAGCATGCCGCTCGAGTGAAAGGCTCTTCAGCTACGAGCAGCCACATCCCCGACAGCCCGACTCCTCCTTGTCGCTTCTCATCCTCCGAGCCACGGCTGGTATCGGAGACTAGGGCAGCAGATCGCTGGGACAAGCTGGAAATTGCCCTGCGCCTGCTTCTCCCTCCCTCAAAATCGATGCTACTATGCCGAGGACAGGAGGGAGCACCTCCAATGATTGTGATGTCGGCGCTACTGAAGTACCACCACCGATGTCTTGTGCTGGTCAACTTGGTCCTGCGTTCTTTCTTGCCCCACCACGCTACGGTCACGAAGACTTACTCTTTGTGGGCCTTAATGGACCGTGGGGCATCTTCAACCATGCCGACTGCTACGAGTACTGGCGCAGCTGAGGAACTCCACTTTCACGGCAAGGTCTTCGCCCGTCTGCACGTCCTTCGCCAGGAAGACCTGACCTCATCTGCTGGCCCGCGCTCTCTTAACCTTCAGTTCTGCTAGCGGAAACGATACGGTGTCGTGATGAGCTCACCTTACCAGCCGCCTTGCCTTTATCTGGGCTTGCCATGGGGCCGAAAGATCCATGGCCCAACCTCTTGCCGAGAGTGAACTTGGGCTCTTCCTCGCGGCATGCCGTAAAGTTCACTACAGACCAGCACACGAAGCCAGCACCTTCCTCTAGCCGCCTACTGGTAGCCAGTCAACAGCAAGATCGGACAACAACAAGTCAGCGAAAAGCTGAGGCAACACAAATCTAAAGACTCCTGGCGCTGGGCTGACTGACCACGCTTCCACGGCATGGCACGGGCTCTCGACCCCAGTACGCGTGTTGAGGCATCTGGCACCTCATGCATCGTCCCCAGCAAACGGCTGCGGGATGGCGGTTCTTCACGCAGGCCAATCCAGCACTTCTGGGCCGCAGGATGCCTAATGCATCCTAATGCACCGTGGCCACTTGCGGTGCCCTGACAGCCACAGCCTTGCCTGGGGCCATTGTGATACCAGCAGAGATGCTCGGGCTCCTCCAACACGAGAACCTCTTGCGAGCTTGCGACAACATGCCGTGATTGCGGCTCTGACTCTGAGCTGCAATGGCCGAAAATTCCGTGCGGCCTCTCAATCTGCCAAAATCCTCCCGTCAAAGCTAGGCTGCGCGCATCTTTCTCGCATTCTGCGAGAACCTGACACACTGACAGAAGGTGATATCTAACCTCTGCCGCATGTCCTTGCGCACTCTGCGACAGTCAGGAGCTAATCGTAAGACTCGAAAGGTAAAGAACGCTATGATGATAGTAGCAGCTGAACTGAGAAGAAAGCAATGTCGGTGCTACACACACACACACACCGGCGACACTGCACAGACGGCTGTAGCTACACAAGCATCGTAGGAGCAGTAGTAGCAGTAGTAGTAGTCGTCCTCGTGGTGGTGGTGGTGGTGGTGGTGGTGGTGGTGGTGGTGGTGGTGGTGGTGGTGGTGGTGGTGGTGGTGGTGGTGGTGGTGGTGGTGGTGGTGGTGGTGGTGGTGGTGGTGGTGGTGGCGGTGGTGGTGGTGGTGGTAGTAGAAGTAGCAGCAGAAGTAGGAGGAGTAGGAGTAGGGGTAGGAGTAGGAGCAGGAACAGGAGCAGGAGCAGGAGTAGGAGTAGGAGGAGTATGAGTAGGAGTAGGAGTAGCAGGAGTAGTCGTAGTCGTAGCAGCAGCAGCAGTACTGGCAGTGGGAGGAGCAGCCTCCTCCTCTTCCTCCCCTTCGTCATCAACAACGTCCAGATCATCATCAAGGTCATCATCATCAGCAGCATCACCACTACCACTGATCGTCAGCGTCACCGTCGCTTTCAGTCACCGAATACGGCAGCACTGCAACAAATTGGTGATGGCAAAGGTGGCTCATGACGGCATGGGGTGCCTCTGCATTGTCACCAGAAGGGAAAATGCTCCGCACGGCCTCCACATAGCTGGCCTCTGTTAGCTTTTTGAAGTAAGAGTCAGCACCAAAAAGATCCAGGGACATGATGATGTGGGATAGCTTGACTGTCACAGACTTCCTGATGATTTCCATAGCACAAACAGTTGCACTTCCCAAGAGCCCGACTTCGTACCATCGAAACGTGATGGGCAGCTTGGCGGGGTCCATCCCGGCGCGGTCCCTGCACCATTTCGCCACGTATCTTTCCTGACCGTGCGTGTGGCTGGGTGTGGGGAAATCCGGAGTGGCCGAGCACTTGTAAAAGCCTGTCCCAAACCTGTTTCTGCACTGGCGGTCCTGCTCTTCCGTGCTATGGAAAGAGACTCCCTCCGGGAAAAGGATTCCCTGCAAGCGTGCACGGAGAAACAACTCAGGCCAAATCGGTGCAATTAAGTACAGTCACGGACTCCGCCTTTTTTGCCTCGCGACACCAAGCCGCGAAGTGAAACACGCTGCAAACATCGTTGCTTCAGGACTCCTCATCTTCGAGAATTCTACAAGCAGGTAACTGGAAAGCTCCTAAAGGAAAGGGTTGATTCCCAAAACTTGTCAAGGTGCCTCAAGCAACTTGCAGCACCTGGCTTCCTGGCTTTGATTCCCTTGAGGACGACAGTCAAAGGCAGCTCCCTGCAGGAAAATCTGAGCTGAGAGATGTAAATAGCACTCTCTGACAGCCTTCCAAAGCAAACCTTTGGAAGAAATCTGCCTCTGTACATGTCCCAAACAAGTCGGATCCATGGTGTGCAGAGGATACGTGGTGCAAACCTCTGCATAGCTCCGGAACTACTTCTGCTTGCTCAGGACTTCCGCAATCTTCCTGGAAACGATGCCAGGTGGGTCCCACTCCGGACCCATCATCGCCTCGGGGGGGCTTCGGGGTTTCACGGTGCACGATCCCACTTCCAATTAACGATCACCCGCAGACCCAAGTAGTTGTATTTCCTTTGCGTAGGAGCCGAGGCAGCTTCGAGTGCTTGCATGTTAGTTGAAATGAGTCTAACAGTCTGACTTACAAGTCGTTAGTGAAGGTTGGGTCTGTGCTGCTACAAAACCCTCCAGGTTCGCGGCTGCTTTCCCCATCATGGCATTTCGCATCATCACCTTCCATGCGACTGTAACGCGGGCGAGGGTGGGGAATGGGCAAAGAAGGGACTTTTCGAGCACCCACGAGCGCCTCAGTGACATCGAGGTTCTGATTGCGCGTCATTGCATTGAAGCCTCAGGTTTTGATACAGGGGTGTGCACACAGGCGAAGCCCAGCCGCAGTGGGATTCCATGACTACTGCAACTGACCACCTGTCGATTGCATCCCATCAAACTGAAACAGTCTTGCAGGCGGGAGGCTGTCTCTCGCCTTAGGCGGAGCACAAGCAAACGCTTCCGGCTTTGAGTAACTAATGGCATACATTGCATCGGTCCCGGATGAACCCCTTTATCTAGTCCTTGACTGCAGCCCAAGGGCCAGCGACGGCTCCTTCGGCTGCCAGGATAATGGGACTCTTTTTGGCACCTCGAGCACGCATGCACTCTTGCTGTTGCTGTGCCGTCACTGGCGGTGCCTTGCCAGTGTCGTAGCCATTGGATGCCTGTCCATGGACAGAAACTTCGACGACCTTCATTGACTACGTAGGTAAAAGCGAGGCCAGGCTCACAGTCGGCCTTCCCCTGCACGGGTCCCGCCGCAGCCGTTCCCGCAGCAAGCAGCGCAGTGCTGGGTGCCCGCCCTCAGGCCGGAGGCCAGCTTTGTGTCGCATCGCGCTTGACTTCACCCCTCTCTGAGGATCTGACTGGGCAACATGGTGCGCCACGGTGTCTCACGGGCTGGCCTCAGCTCGCAAGGGCTTGGGAAGCAGCGGAGCCACAAGACCTGACACAGCACAGCACTCACAGAAGATCTCTCGTGAAAACTTCGAGTTGTAGGATGGAGCAACTATTTGTCACCCGCAGCGCTGGAGGTGAAAATCTTGGAGCTGGCCGTGCACTTTGCCACAGTCACCCCCATACTCAGGATCGCCCCAACAAACGACTTGGCCACTCGCACAAATCGCTGCGAATGCCTTCTGCGATCCTTTGATCTGTCGCACATTTTGAAGCTGTTCCTTGACGCTGCTGCTGTCACCGCCCGACCCCGCCTCGCCCCAGGTGACAACGCGACCGTTGTCCAGCAACGCCGCAAAAGCCTTTAGAGAGGAATCAATTTGCACAACACCTCTCAGGTCCGATTCAACGGTCCCGGAATCACCACCAGAAAACTTGTCGCCCCAGGTCACGACTCGACCATCCTTCCGAATTGCCGCAAAGGCACGGCCAGAACCCTGCACTTCACACACATTCTGCAAGTCCATCTGCACCTTGCTGCTGTCACCGCCATAGTACCGGGCACCCCAAGTCACCACACGGCCATTCTGAATGATGGCTGCAAAGGCTCCACCAGATGCACTGATACTCTGCACATTAACCAGTTCTGTTTCGACAGGGCTGCTGTCACCGCCGAAATACGGATGCCCCCAGGAAATCACCCGGCCATCTGCGAGCAGTGCAGCAAATGCGCCAGAAGAGCCGATGACTTGGTGCACGTGCTGCAGCTGGTCTTTCACAGCATCGCTGCAGCCACCCAGATCCTTTCTTCCCCAAGTCACAAGTCGTCCGCTCTCGCAGATCGCGGCAAAGGCCCGCTCGGTCGATTCAATGTGAGATGCCTTTAACCCTCTGAGCTCTTGTTCTGCGACCTCATCACATCGGCCACCGAAGTACTCATCGCCCCACACCACTACTCGTCCGTCCCCAAGAATCGCAGAAAAAGCTCCATCCGAGGCACAGAGCTTCTGCACGTCACATAACTGAGTCTCGACGGTTCGAGCGTTGGTGCTGCCCCCAAATTCCTCGTGACCCCAACAAACGACGCTTCCGGAGGCAAGAATCGCGGCGAACGCCCTCCCTGTTGTCCGTGCCTCCTTCACGTTCTGCAGCTGATGCTGCACTGCAGAACTATTGCCGCCAGCGTCTGGGCTACCCCAAGTTATCACAGATCCGTCGGAGCGGATGAGAGCAAAGGCCTTGGCAGTGTGACTGGACACCAGGGAAGCTTGCCGGACCGTTGCATGGACCGTGAGGACGTCGTCTTCAGCCTCCCACAGGCCGAGGCCCTTCTCCTTCAGTTCCTGGAGTGTCAAAGCAGAGTCCAGGAGCTGGCCGCAGGCGCTCAGGCTACCAATGCCAATCTGGAGTTCTTCTCTCACCCACTCTTGCAAGCCTTCGACGGTGCAGTCCGACGATACGTCCAGAGAGGCCGTCTGTCCACTCAGCAAGACAATATGTACCAGAACCATGGAGAAGCCAGGAGTCCATGGAAATGGGCAAAGTTGTCGAAGTACAAACCTGCCAAACGATCTGACAACGTTCAACACTAGGAACCCCCGCTGCGGTCCCCCTTCGACGGTAAGTTTACATGTTCCGAGTGTGCTGGATGAAGGGATTACCTGGTAACTGGTAATTACCTGGACCCGCGAAGTGCAGTAACATCTTTTGGAGAAGCTACGTTATTGTGAGCTGCTGCGCATTTTGCAAGATCGCTTGCTCGGTGTTACGAGTCTTTGAGCGATGTTGATCATGCACACGACCCCTGAGGCCAGCATAAAAACAAGGAACGAAACTGAGCGTTTCAGGAGCTACAAGACCGTATTTTCGATGCCAGGTTCACCTGTTTGGCCGGGGGGGGAGTCTAACGGCCATGGACACTTCAGTGCCGTCTTGAAATCTCTTCCCCCTTCGCGAAACGTTTGCAAAAGCAGCTCTTGAAAGAGGTGCCTGGACCTGTCTGCCCTGTAGGGAACGCGCCCGACTTCTGACTCTGAAATTCTGAGCTCGAACTTGTGGCCACTAACTGCCTAGGATTCCTATGGTTGCTTGGATCCTGACAGACGTGGCTCCGAGTGGCTCTGCGCCGGCCGCCGTGGCTCCTGCAAGGCTCAACACCGGAACCCGTCGTCGCCGCGGGCTCGCAGACTCCTCGGCGAGGCGAGTGATCCGGGAAGGCTCCTGGCAAATAGAGACAATGAAGCAGTCCGAGGCCTTCACAAGCGGCGCTTTTCGCGCAGATTCCCCAGCCTTCTTTGCGGCTTCCTGAATGGCCTTCATGTACTGGGCCACCTTTACACCAGCAGGCGACGATTTCCCGAAGCCTCTGCCGGTCGGAAGCACCCTGCCGCTATGCACTCCATGCATCAAAGGGTAGCAGGAGCAGGAATTCTCGGAAGCTACAAGTAGTGCACACACTTGGCTTTGTAGCCATTCCTGGGTTCGACGAGGCTGGTCGCCTCCCGATGAGACTTCGCAGAGTCGTCGTCTGGCCGGCGGCCTGGGAACGCCACGACCAGGATGAAGTGAGGCATTGCGCTGCCAGCGGCTAGCAGTCAGCAAGGCTCGACTGAAGCTTCGACTTTTGCAAGATGTCTCTATCCGGCAGTGTATAGGAACGAGGCTGTCTGTTGAACAGGTCATGATTCGGGCAAGGCAGCGGTGGACACGCCCTGCTCCCCGCTCCCCTAGCTGTTCAGATCACTCGGCTCCGTACCCCCTTCTGTGAGGATCGAGGCGATCTTCCGAGACCTACAGTATGCTCTCAAGCTGCCGAGATGGGACTCATCAGTTTTGCTTCCCATGGAAACCCTCAGATTCTCTTTCGGCATTGGGCAGCGTTTGGATGCGACGTGACACGACAGGGCTCTTGCGCGGCGTGCCCGAGTCCCCGGCACCATGCCAGGTGGTTCCCAGTTCGGACCCAACTCGGAGCTTCGACCGATGGTCGCAGCCTTCATCATCTCCTCGCCGTGGCCCCGGTGACGTCACGGCACTCTTGCGAGCAGAGCTGCTCCCCGCTTCAGGTGCCTCCGTGACGTCCAGGCGGTTGTGAATTCCGCCAAGGATGGAGTTCAGGCCTCGGGAAACTGACTGGGAACAGGCGTCTTTGAAATGACGGCGCGCAGGCTGGGGGCCAGTCTGGCTCGACCAAGAGATGCCTCACAGGTGGCGGATCGACTTGCAAGCAGTGCCAGCGGGTGTGCGGCAGCTGTGATGCGTAGGTGTTTCAATTGACAGCTCATGTTAAGGAATCTTGGGGCCGATGGTCGAGCAGCCTCAAAGCTCCGAACGTGCAGCTGGCCTCGCCCGGGCTCCAATGAACCGTCGACGTGGACATGTTGCCTTTGATGTATTTGAGGTGGAGCGTCCAATCACAGCGCAGCGTGTCGCAGCAAGGGCAGCAAAGGCTATGCAGACTCTGAGCACTCCATTCCGTCCCTCCCAGACAGCGAGAGAGAGAGAGAGAGAGAGAGAGAGAGGGAGAGAGAGGGAGAGACAGAGATTGAGATCACAGGGGGCTAGAGCTCCGCCATTCTTCTGGCGAAGCACTGAATGCAGTCGAGGAGCGCAAGCCCAGCTGCCCAAGAGGAGCAAGTGGCCAAACGTGGTTTTGATGAGGGGTATGTATGTAACTAAGTATGTATGTGCAGGTGTATATGTATATGTGTGTATATATATATATACATACACCTATACATACAGCTGTTGCTACATAGGCCTGTGCATATTATATAGACAAGTATTGACTGGCTACTCATTTTTTATGGTTCTGCAACCGGCACACCATATGATACAGTCACAGTCATCAACCATATGTTACTTGAAACCTGCATCGTGGTGGCTTCCACTTTGGGTGTTGAAGACGTTGCCTGTAGCAAGCATGTTGCCAAGGGTAAATTGGCACCACATCGCTGTCCGTGTGTCTGCCCCAGTTTGTCATGGTCATGTTACGAAACCGGCCAGTACGCCGCCTGAGCAGTGCGTGCGACATCACGGAAACGTCTACTGCGAGATCTGAGTTCTTTCCGTGGCTACAGGCTGGAGTGACTCTGCTTCTCCAGCCTGCTCCTTCAGGCGCACCCATGGCATGACGAAGATGACTCGATGCCCGTTCCTGCGCAAAACTTGCAAAGTCGCGTTTTGGACTCCAACGACCATGACAAGCATGGTGGCAGAGTTCTCAAATTGCTCCTGGCGAGGTGAAGGCTTCGTAGGAGTGGATTTATGGACGGCCCAGTCCTCTGGAATCAGGTCAACGGAAAACTTGCCTCTTCTTGACAAGCCAACCTTCCGCGCATGTTTATCTGAACGTCTGAGAAACGTGACGTCCACGGCAGCGCCGCCGTAGTGATGACTGTGACGTGCCTGCGCATGCTCTCGAGCTGGGCAAAAAGTCTGTGAGACACCGCAGAACAAAGAATTATCTCTGAAACAATTCCTCGATTTGCCGTGCCTAGCTCTGCTGCGCAAGTCTGAAGCTTCGGTACACCTGCAAGACCGCGCTGGTGATATTGATGACCAGAGACTAATATTTTGAAGTCTGAACGGCTGGACATTGAGGATGCAAATGGCCTCACACCAAGCTTTCAACCCGCAGCTGTGCCAGCTTGTTTAACCGCGACCCGGCAGTCACGCAGCATTGCGCAGCGTTTCCCTGGATGTGGTGCCTGGGAAAGGGCCCCAGCGAGTAGATCGGAAGGCCCTTCTGTGCATCCTCGGATGTGCGCAGCGAGAAGAAGCAGAAATTCTGCGGGGAGTGGAGTTGAGCCAAGGAGCAATGGGAGTCCGCCCGAGCTGCTGCACCAGGGAAGCGCCGCCCTCCTCGCCCTCCGACCTCTGTCGCAGCAGAAAGTCTAAAGTGTATTAGATGAGGCTTACAAGCAGAGCCGACGCCTAAAACAGGATAGTACATTATATATGCTTCGCATCTGCTTCGCCTCTCTCTGTCGCTCTGTTCCGCTCCGCTACGGCCTCGTCTCGGTGGTGCTTTGAGACGTCTGCGAGTCGTTCAGCATCCCCATCAGCCAGCTCACGACCTCGACGGCAGGGCACCCATCCCGCATCTGCTGCTTGATATTGCTTGATAATTTCGCTGTGAACTATTCTGACTGATTGGGATGCAATCAGCAGGTACTGGTGTCTCGTTCGTAGAGAAGCGGGAAGCAGCTCAGTGAGGCTCAGTGCCCTCGCAGAAGAGGGTACAACGAACTCGTTGAGGACCTCTAACTTTTGACTTCGCCCTCGTGCCCGTTTTGATCCGTTTTGTGTCAAGAAAGACGCTTTCGGGATCTGGCAGGGCTTGAGTGGAATCTTGCCATCACGTCGCTGTCGCTAGCCATCTTCGACTTCGACGCGCTGCCAACATCTCACGTGTGACCCTTTGGGGGATCTGGGTCCCCGCTGTGTGCCAGGGTGAGTGTGAATGGCCACTAATGTCAACCTCACATTAAGAAACCCCTGCGAATTGCAAAGTCCAATTCCCAAAACGTAAATAGAACCCCCCCCCCTGTATTTGCAGAATCCAATCCGCGGAGCGGTAAAAAAGCAACCAGAATCTTGCTTAGATGAAAGCTCAACTGAGCTGAAAGAAGACCCAAAGCTGGCCCAAAGCCCAGCTTCGAAGTCCAGCGCTTGGCTTCAGTGCGTCAGAGTAGAAGGCTCTCAGGGGGGGTCTTTTAGTACTGGCGACAGGCTCTAAGGCTCCTGACACTCTCATGACGTGGAGGGGAGGGGCTCATAGCCTCTAGCGGGGGGGGGGGGGGGGGAGGATGAAGTGAACTTCTGAAGCTCACCTCGCTCTCTGTGCTTTTTGCAGGTGAGCAGCTCCTGAAATGAAGGCAATGGCAGACTTGATCGGGTTTTGTTCTTCTTCGCCGTCCTCGAGGCAGATCTGCCAGGCCAAGCAATGCCGCCCAAGACAACACTCCGGGTGCTCCTCCCCAGGCGCAGCAAGTCGCACCTTGGTGGAGCTGACTCTCGCATGTAAGACCTGTCACGGACCATCCTTCCCGTCCTGGTGAGCCTCAGCTCGCAGCTAGACGCCATGGAACTCTCTGCCGCAGCCGTCCATGTCTCCTCGTTGTGATTTGCCATGGCTCGACGCATCGATAAGCCCTGATGAGCCCCTTCCACAGCCTCTGGCGAATCGCCGCCGCTAGAGGCAGCGCCGCTGCTCCGAGAGCTCCCTGGCCCTGGCCTGCACGAAGGGCGTCACTGCGTACACGTCGTTGTCCGTCGTCGTCTTCCGCCGGGCCTGGGAGGTGGCTCCGCTTCTTTGGCCGCGGAGCCTCGGAGCAGAGGGCAGCCAGGAAAGCTTCATGAAGAGGCGGAGGCGGAAACCTCTGAGGAGCTTACCTCGCTGTAAGTGCAAGCCTGCACAACGACGAGACTGCAATCCCAGGACGGACAATTCCACAGCAGGCCTACGGTTTGACTGAACTGCACTTCGTGACTTAGAGTATTCTTATAGCATGGAGATCAGGGAGGCAGCCAGGTTGGGAGCTTAGGACCGCATCGGGTCAATTTTCCCACTTCAGCTCAAAGGGTGACTATGTTTGAAGAGCTCGGGTATCATAAGCGGGGGAGAGGGAAGATCACAGTCCAAGTTTGCAGGCCTGTCTGAGGCTTGAATATCGCCTTGAGCGCTTCGTATCTCAACAGGGACCATGATCATGATGATGATGGTGATGATGATGGTCGCTCCTACAAAGATGCTCCGGCAACAGCCCCGCCGGCAGTCTTTTGAAATGAGGTCGGTTTGCTCAGGTGATATTGGCCGGCGGCCTTCACAGCGAGCTCTGCAGCTGCGGAGACAGCTACGAATGAGGTCATCGCTCCGTGGAAAGATTCTACATTGAACGTATCGATGAGGGTTGACTCAATGTAGCATATGACATCTCAAAAATACATACATGTCTACATACATACATACATACATACATACATACGTCATACATGCGCATTTACATACTGACATGCAGACTTATATAACTACCCATCATGCAGAGGTTGTGTCTATTTGTCGTGGCATTTACATAAAGAGAGCCAGGTTCCGCAGGGAGTGGACGGGTGTGCTTGCTTCGCTTTTGATGTTTCTTATGGCGTCTTGTGCTCATGTGCTGCTTGGACCTGCCACTGCCAGCCTTTATGCAGATACCGCTGACACAGAGGCCAGCGCATAGCTTGCTTACATATAAGGGCCGAGAGTAGCAGGCGCTGCCTAGATTAAGACAGCTATTCATTCACTTGTTCGCAATATTCCTCCTGTCACTATGTGCTATACTGTCTTAGAACTTTCTTATGCCTCTTTTACAACCAGCCTCCCGCTGCAATGCATTCTTCTTACTCCTCATGCCCCTGGCGGTTGACTCGGTCCAAAATCGTGTTCGATCCTTTTTGGCCAGAGGAGCAGTCACGGTCTGCATCTCTGAAGTGGCCTGCACAAAGTATTCAGTATTTGCACCCATGGTTTCTGCTCTCTGCACAGTCCTTCCACCAGCCTGACAACAACGGATCGCTTTGCGAACGAATCAGCATCGGCATCCCACACAGCCTTGGATGCAATGACTGTCAAGATCGCCGAACAACTCCTGCACGTGGAGTGTGACTGTTAACCACAGAAAACTCGATTGAGCCTGATTAATCATTGCACTTGGTCTCAGCCGCGCGCCCACTGCTGTGGCTTTGGATCGCCATTTGCCGCCTCGCAGCCCACGGCAGCTCAGGAATCCAAACTACAGGCTCTTGTTCAAGCTGTCGTATCGCTGCAGAAAGTGCATGCTTGGTTCGGGACGCAGCCCCAGGGAGGATCATCACGACCTGCAGCACAGAAAGGGCCACGGCTGGTGTTCCATACGACTGAGGGCTCAGTTCCAACATCACATTCGAGGGCGGTGCGGCCGTCGAAAAAAGCAGTGCAAGCACCTGAGGTGGAAGACTGACCATGCGAGTCCGTGAAAGGCCGAGCGACCGCAGCTCAAGGGGCCGGCCTTTCTCGCTTAGTGCTCCGGCGATCTTCCAATCACTGAAAAATCGGCTCCAGAACAAGTAGAAGCCTTAGAACAGTCGAAGAAACAGTGAAGGCTGAACTCCTCCAAGCTCTCCGAGGTCTCAGCGAAATTTAGTGTGGGCAAAGGCCGGTGCAGCCTCTTGCAGACAACTGCCACAAAGCAGAGTGCATGAACCAACAGCTGTTTGGGCTGCGACGTTGTAATCGATGGTGCGATAGTAGAAGCCTTGGCCATCGAGGCTTTGGATTTCGCTGCGAGCTGCTTCTGTTACGAGCGCTGTCCGAGCTTGGAATGGACTGGAATCACGGTGTCTGTGCCAGCTCAATGT